GTCACACTACCTAAACTTATAGAATAGTCTGACTAACCTGTTCTGAAATAAGATAGTAATAAAATATAGCCAAGTTATAACCTTTGGGTTCCAGCATGTGCGAGGCATCGGGCCAGACTACCTAAACTTATAGAATAGTCTGACTCTCTGCCTGATTCATTCCTCTCTGATCCAATCTGTGTGCGGCATGAGGTCAAGGTCACCCAAACTTATGGAATGACCTTGTCCTCTGTCAAAGTTACTTCCTCATAATAAAAGCAAGAAGAGGCTGAGCCACCTAAACTTATAGAATGACCCAGACTTCCTCGTTCAGAACAAAATATACAGGAAAGAAACCCAAAGTAAACAAGGCAACCAAGCCACCTGAACTTACAGAGTATGCTTGGCTCCCGAAAAATCAATCAAAGTTAAACCCTCGCAAGTCAGAGCAACCAGACCACCTAAACTTATAGAATGGTCCGACTCTCTATGCAATTCCATAACACTGGGTCTCCCAAAACTTATGGGGACTTCCTAACCTCCAGAGCAATCAGACCACCCAAACTTATGGAATGGTCTGATGCTCCAAGCAATCCCAAAATAAACACCGCACTGGGTCTCCCCAAACTTATGGGGACTTCTCAGCTTTAACGACCCAGTCAAACATCAGACAAAACTGTCTTTCTCCCAACCTTCCCCCATATGCAATCCCACAGTCTACCTTCAGTCAAACAATAAACTGAAACTGGCATTAGGCATGCATTCCTTTATTTAATCTGGTTATGTCCTGAAAGTCAAACTGAAAATCAAAGTAAAGGGGTACACGCAATACACTTAGTCAACTCATAGAAAGAAGTACAGGTAGGGGTTGTAACTAGGCTTATAACAGGAAAGCAATGGTTACCTTTCAGTTCCCTGCCTCCAGAACTCCTCCTGAGTTCCGGCAGAGCTCCCACAATCGGTGGGCAGACTCCCCACATAGTCTTGTTGCGGTCCTACGGGTTGCAATCCTCCCTGCCGCCTTCCTCTCAGATCAGGACTAGACTTGGAGTAAGAAAGGCAGAAGATAAGGGGTTTCAAACAGGCTTATAGCAGGAAAGCAATGGTTACCTTTCAGTTCCCTGCCTCCAGAACTCCTCCTGAGTTCCGGCAGAGCTCCCACAATCGGTGGGCAGACTCCCCACATAGTCTTGTTGCGGTCCTACGGGTTGCAATCCTGCCTGCCGCCTTCCTTTTAAATCAGGACTAGACTTGGAGTAAGAAAGGCAGAAGATAAGGGGTTTCAAACGCTCGAGATACAAGAGGGGTACAATTCAACTCTCAGGAGAGAACCTTGATACCTTCACTCGCCTGAGGGTCCCGCAATGATGACCAAACAATAGCAACTTGGCTAATTTCTGAGTCAAGTTGTCAAAGTCAACCCCTCTTACGACCTCTGAACTGGCAGCGATAACCTCCCCCTTCTCCAGCCTAATCTCTTCTCCAAATCGCAGCGCCTCTCCTTAACCCAATCGTCGCCGTGTAACAGGCTGTAATAGTTGGCAATCGCCGACGACAGGGTGCAGCAGCATGCAGCAATCAACAGTAGGCAGCAACTCGTGCACAGTCAATAGACGCAGCAACAGTTCGTGCACAGTCCGCAATTCGTGCACAATCAACAGACGTAGCGACAGTTCACAACTGCAGTCAACAATTCGTGCACAGTGAACAGACGCGGCAGCAGTTCACAGCTGCAGTCAGCAGCAGCCAGCCGCAGCAATATGCAGTAGCCAGCAACAACCAGCTATCTGCAGTAAGCACAATTACTATTGTAGCAGAAACGCAGCCGAAGCAAACAGCGGGGCGCACGACAAACGAAGCGTCAGTGTCGTGCGTACGTTCATCCACAAGGAGAATATCGTGGTGCTGCAACCAGCCGAATGAATAGTACACTGGCCAGCGGGCGAATCTGCAGTCTCTGCGACTGGCCTTACTCCAAAGTTATCAACAGGCTGGGTAGCGCACTGACTGACTGACAGACTTGCATTCACGTTACTCCGGTGGTTGTGAGTGTCTGTATCTCGGCCAACAGGTAAGTCTTCGGGCCTTTGCAACCCATTCCCTTCTCTTCACTACTTGCACACAGTTAGGTTGTCTGACTGTACATCTGTCAGTCATCGGGGGGACCGGCAGGTTCACAGCCCGTCTTCAGCCCGTTCGTTCCCACCCCTGCCCATAGGTAAGCGTACAATCCCTCTGTGTTTCAACTCAAAATGTTGGCTTAATGCAACGGCTTACTTCAAAGCACAGTGTATCATGCCACTGGGCCAAGCCATCAGCCAAGATACCGCGTGCAATGCTCACAATAATGCCCAGTAGCCACTCTCTGATTTTCCTTTTACCCAAGACCAGCAGTAACACAACAAGGGCTTCTTCGGCGAGAAGCAACAGTCCTGACGCCTTACAACTTGCACGATACTGCGTTTGTGCAGCGTATAGCAACAACGATTACTGGACAGGCAATAGCTTGCGCGTTACTTAATTCTTAGTTTTCTGACTGTTTGGCCACTTCGAAGCAAGTCCAGGACGCCAACAGCGCCGCAATCGCACAAAAGTACTCCCTTTGCCTCTCTCTCTCACGCATTCACGGTTCCTTTCCTATTCTTCCTAGTTTTGCCCACCCCTCTTTTTCATTCGCTGTACTTCCTGCTTCGGTAACCCGTACCCTCTAGCTTGCACAACCTCACTCATTCGAACCACTCCCCAGGTGCACAGTTCGCTATTCGACCCTTCCGCCGGATCACAGGCAGACACACTGTCACCCGTCTGTGCACAGTTTGGCATCGTAACTTGACTCCCAATTGTTACTTTATTATCAGTCCTCAAAGACGGAAGGCATCTCTCCTCTTTCTCTCTCCTAGCAACTCTTCTTTCGGACCCATTCAGGCGGGCCCCTATATCGAGTTGTTGCTGTTCAGCCGGGCCCACTCAGGCGGACCCCTATATCGAGTTGTTGCTGTTCAGCCGGGCCCATTCAGGAGGACCCCTATATCGAGTTGATTGCTGTTCAGACGGGCCCATTCAGGTGGGCCCCTATATTGGGTTGATTTCCACCAGTTTGGCTAGAGGGTCTATTGAGGTGCTGTTCTCTCTGATCCCATCGAGTTGGGCTATTCTCCTGAGTTGATGATATCTCCTTTTATCACCAAGGACATCATTGCTTGGTGTAACCACTTGTCAGGAGCATTCTTCCCTACTTTGCAGATTGGTCAAGCTGGCTCCTCAACATGAGACAACCCCTTTATGGGGTAAGCTGGTTGAGAAGTTTTGTTACCGACATATTGGACATCAGGGCTTCGCCATTAGGGTCAATGAGTCTCCCACATCGAGATACACGTTGGTGATTACTTATGATGTGAGAGATGTCGGGCAGGGAATAAAGGGAGCCACCTATGACCGGATTGCTGACTATATCTTCCGCAGGGAGAGCTACTGGAGGGAGCACTTATTACATGTGGTGTTTCCCCAGGTCCCCTTTGCACCAGGTGGTGCTCTCTTTGACTTTGATGGCTGTAATCTAAAACCACTGAGCAGAGGTGGCAGCAAGGAAAAGAGGCGTCAGGACAAGAGGATTAGGAGCGAGGTGGCCAGATCTGGGATACCCATCACCACCTGGTTACAGAGGTCAGAGACAGACGAGTTAGACCAAGAGCCTTGCTGCATGAGCGACGTTGACCTGGGGGATTATTTCGACTGGGATACTCACAGGGATTGAGCACGCTTGAGTTGGAGCAGATCCAGGGCATCCCATGACACTGGTCACCAGAGTGAGACGCAGGCGGAAGGCAGCCCTACGACGGGTTGCTTACCTCTTGGTGCGATACTTGCTTGAGGGTGATTGATCCAGGCGTTACATGTTAGGAGGACCCAGGTCAGAGAAGGTAGCCGGCCCTTCTAGGGGGAAGGGACCAGTCCCATATCTTGGGGATGACTACAGTCATTTGGTGGGAGCGGACTTCGTCATACAGGCTTTTCGGAAGCCACTCTATGGAGACCATTTTCTGGAGGTTTCTTATGATTATACCTACGACAAGGGACGGATTGAGATCTTGATCGGTGCCACTGGCAGCATTTCCCTCGTCGAGGAGTTGTACCTCCGGAGTGTTGCGGACGAGGAGATGGCTAGATGTGTGGCATATATCAGCAAGATCGATCCTACGGCATCTTTTGACATCAGCTATGTGGTCCCGGAGTCGATAGCCACTCAGGTTCTCAATGATGAGGAGGACCAGTGTGTACCAGATACGGAGTCCCAGACAGTCGAGCCCACTCATGAGGGGGTACCACTTGTCGTTATTGATTGAGGCTCGTATCTTTTAGTCACTAAGATGTATTATGACATTATTATGTTTTATCAGTGATTGCAGCCCCTCCTATGGCTGCTTCCTGCATTCTCTGTGTACTACTCTTCAGTCTCATGTCTCTGGTCATGCTCTTGCAGAGTCAGGTTTCTGGTTTGTTCGTCCTCTCAGTGTCATCTGACTTATGATGCATGTCCTCTAATGCATGGAATGTTTATGCATATGAGAAAACAAGTTATTTATCACTCCTTATCATAACAGGTTACATTCAAAGCTACTTGAAGTACTTCTAGATAATAGGGACTCCGGTGACCTTGAATCTAACCTTTATACGGGGTCAGGTGCAGGCGATAAAACCGAACGCCTCACTTTAAGTCGTGTCGCCGTTGGCAGGAGGGATAACCCTGACTACTCGACTGTGTGACAAAGGCTGCTTGTGAATTCACTTCTAATTTTCTTAAAACTTCCAAAATTCTGTGTGACAGTCTGCCAGTCCACCAACCCACTTTACTCGGCCCGGGGAGGGACATCGAACCAGGCTCTGGAACGGTGGGGGCGCGACACTGCGCCGATCCTTCTACGTTCGCGTCCCTGGGCGAGCCCGACGGCTACCACGGCCACAGGCCGATAGTGCCCTGCTGTACAGCAGGGCGCTGAGCCTGCGTGAACCTATGGAAAGTCCAGTGGCGCACCCTTTTACTAGTGCAGGCCCCAACTAAACTGGTCCATAGCAGGGCATAGTCCGGTATACTAAGTGGGCCTTGGAGGTTTAGGAACTACCCGACGAGCTGCGGGCGTCAAAGCGAGGAGCTACCAAGCAGGAACTGGACTCACAGGAGGGTCGGGACACCGCGCCCTCCGACAACGCATCGAAGATGTAATTGTAGTCATGATCCCCAAGTGGCATAAAAAGTAAGTCGAGATGTACTACGGCCCCTACTTCCCTTTCCAGCCTCAGATGCAGTGGCTCCCCCGGCCTTAGACGGGATCGCTCCTGACAGGGTAGCAGGACCGACAAAACTTACCAACCATCTCCATCATCCCATCCCAATAATATAACTCACTTATCTTAGCATATGTGGCACTAACTCCCCGGTGTCCTCCCGCAATGCCATCATGAAGTGCAACTACAAAGTCAATCTGACGGTTCCTGCCGCATACGACTCTCCTAGGATTCCCCACTTGCCTTTTTACGAAAAAATGACCATCTCTCACCAAGTAGCGTGGCATCATCCTTTGGGCCCTATCGCTCGCATCTCTATTCCAGATTTCGCACGATAGGAGAAGTCTCAGTTCCAGGTAGATTCCATCATACTCCTTTGCACGGAATGCCTCTTTGATCTTTCCCTCCTCAAACTCGTCATCCTCGCTCTCCGGCTCCACATTCTCATTCTCAGTCGGATTCAACGAGCCTATCTGATCAAAGTTTCCTTGCAGAAGCGTATTGGCGAGGAGATACATCCCTCCCATCAATTCCTCGTGCTTCTCTACCTGATCCGGTCCTTCCTCTATCGTCCTCATCTCCTCTACCAGACTATGCGAGTATGCTAATGCCAACTTCATCATCCACATGACATCTTTACTGCCCCATGGATCTTCCTCTTCGAAAGGCTTGAGCATCTGCTCTGCCTTACATTCATACCCGTTTGGCGCATGCCAGATAGGATGACCTACGCAGTTGGGCACCCGTGGGGACCACTTATTGATGTGAAGACGGATGTCCTCTTCCAGATCCAGAAAACCATTAACTGGGGGCGTGTCCTCTATTGCCTCTCCCTCTTGCTTATCCCAGTTGATACGGCTCAGCCCGTCCACCCTACTCTTGTTCCCCGGAATCCGTTTCAGTTCAAAATTAAACATCCAGATGTACGTCAGCCATCTGGCGACAGTCGGATCTGACGGAACACAATTCCTCAAGGAATAGGACAAAGCAGTCGGGTGCACTCTCAATATGAACCTCCAACCAAAGATATAGTTTCGAAAGATTCGCGGACAGTGAAGGACAACGAGAATCTCCCTCTTGAACTGACAGTAATTTCTCTCAGTTGTACAGAGAGTTCGTCTCTCAAATCGCAGCGGTCTCTATTTCCCTTTTGTATCTGTCTGAATCAGAACTCCACCTAAGGCAGCCGGCCCCACATACGTTTCGACAATGAAGGGTCTTGTTTCCGTGACGTCATAGTCTGGCGCTGCCAATACCAACCCCCCTTCTCAGAACCCTTCCTTCATTTTTGTCACCACTCTCTCTTGCTCTGCACCCTAAACCCATTCCTGATCCTGACGAACCAACTTTCTCAAGTGCTCTCTCTTGGCGGCGAAGTTCTTGACGAAAGTCCTCCAAAATTCAAACGTGCCGAGGAAGCTTCTAACATCAGTTATTGAGCGGAATGGTACTGGTCACTCAATAATCTTGTCCGTCTTCTTTACATCCGGCCGACGGCCTTTCTCACTACATACGAATCCCAAGATAGTAGCTTCTCTCATGCAGTGTCTGGATTTGGCCCCACTTGCAATGAGGTTATGCTCTTCAAGTAGATTCAAAACTTTCTCAAGGTCCTGAATATGTCTCCAGACAAAGCGCCTCACTCCCTGCAAGACTTTGTGATTCTCTTTCACCATTGGCCCCTTTACTGCCAAGTCATCGGTATATGGCTGTGTGATATGCGGGCTGATCGACTGCATGGCCCGAATCATAACACACTGAACCATTGCCACTGCGTTGGTTCATCCTTGTGGAGCCACAATCATATGGATTAGCCCCCGAGGCGTATGCATTGCCGTCACTGGACTGTATGGCGGATAAACCGGAAATTGATCATATCCAGAATAAAGGTCTATAAGTGAGATTATAGGCCTTCAAGCACAGGATTCTGACAGTGCATCCGCATTCGGCAGTCCGCACGCATCTCGCACAGTCACCGCATTTAATCGCTGCAGGTCTTGCACCCACCGCAACGTCTCATTAGGTTTAATGAAACAAAACCATGGGGATGCTTACGGCCCACTTGAGTAGTCGGCGACATGCGTATGTATCTTGCCATCGAGGTAGTCTACCACCTTCTTCTCTTCATCAGGATTATGATAGTTATGGTCTGTATGAGTTTGTAATGATGCCCTTTGGTCTTTGTAATGCGCCGGGTACGTTCCAGCACGCTATGAATCGGATCTTCCATGACCATTTAGATAAGTTTGTCGTCGTATACCTTGACGACATTCTGATCTTCAGTAAGTCTGGTCTTATTGCGATCTAGTGATATCCGGATTTCAAGTGTATCTTGCTATAGTACTTGCATCCCTGCACCCTATCCAATAGGTCGTCTATGCGAAGTAGAGGCTCTGCGTTTTTCACTGTGATGGCATTGAGGCCTCTATAATCAATGCACATCCTCAAAATACCCCCCTTCTTCGGTACGAATAGCACGGGAGATCCGTAAGGGGAAGTACTAGGCCGAATACATCCCTTCTCTGTCAACTCTTTTAGTTGCTTCCGAAGTTCATCTAATTCGGCAGGGGCCATCCTATAGATCCTTCCCTTGGGGTCTTACTCCCTGGAATGATTTCTATAGTGTGGACGACTTCCCTATCAACAACTCCTGAGGGCTCTTCGAACAGATCAGGGAACTTAGCAACGACGCGTTCTATCTCTGGGGGTGTTTTAACGGCCTCCCCCTTCTCAGAGACATAAACAAGGTACATRCCCTCCTCTTGGTTTTGCTTATAGTAGTTGTAGAACGCGGATGCGCATAAGCAGCCATAGGTATCTATAATACTACTGGCCTTGAACTTGGTCAATCTGACAGTTCGGCCATCGGGCAACTTGTGTTTGAGCACCTTCTTATCCCAGTCGAACTGGGGCTTAGCAACTTCGAGGTAGTACATGCCTAACAGCATATCGAATGGCAAGTCGTCGCTAACCAAGAACGAGATCTTATGGTTAAGCTCACCTCCTCCATAGGAGAAGGTACAGACTACGTCCTTGATGTAGTCTGTCACTATCATGCGCTCCTTGTTGGCCAAAGTAGATGCTACTGGTCTACTAAGGTGCCATACCCGGTCCTGTAGGTGCAGCCTTTCCAAACAGTCGCGACTTATATAATTACGTGTTGATCTGATGTCTATGAAGGCACCACATTTGAGGCCTCCTACATCCACTTCCACCACGAAATGTTCCCCTCTAGGACCCTTCTTTAGCGCCACCCAAGACTCGCGAGGGTCCTTGTTTGACCACTCGCGTTCTAAGTCTTCTAAGGCTTCAGACACATTTAACGTACAGAGCATAGTTTGGTCTGGATGCGTCTGCGGGGTGACTGAGGAGTCATTAGCTTCGGCCTTGTCATGAAGTGAGGAGGGTATCATGCCCACTCCATCTTGAGTAGAAGCTGCTACTACTTCCACTGGCCCTACGCGTTTCCCGAGCTAGAAGCCTGTGAATAAGATGCCCCCATCTTTGGAGCAATCTTTTGCGTGACCTTAGCGTTCTGGCACTTGTATTGTGAGTGTCCGTACTCCCCGCAATTGATGCAAGCGCCACGCACTCGGCGATCACGCCACACGTCTTGGTCAAGACCTACCTTAACCCACTCAGCCTGCTTGGTCTGATTGGAGGCGGCCTTCCCTTGACTCCTAGGTTGGCCCTTCCCTCGGCCACATGCCTTAGTCTTCACTACCGCGGCGAGGGTGCTACCCTCAGCTACCTCCTCGCCGTCTAACTCTGTGTAGTCCATCAGGTCAGTGAGCTCGTCGATCTCAGTTTGGGTCCCATCGGACTCCACCATCATCAACTTCGCCCCCTTCTTTTTCCACTCCTGAGGACTCTTCTTCTTCTTTGAGTCATTCCCTGAGGTGGGTTGAGCATTGCCTAGCGTGGCCTCTAAATCTAAAGCTTTCCTAGACAATGTCTCAAATGAGTGGTACTCTGTGCGTGCCTCACTAGCCAGCAAGTTCCTGATGTTCTCTGGAAGACATCTAACGAAAGTTGTTAACAGGAACTGGTCACTGTAGTTGATGCCCGGGACGAGGATCAGGCCCTYAACGGTAGTCRTAAGCTCTCTAACTGAYCRGAACTTGCGTTGGTCTAGTTTATTTATGGCATCAGTGGCCCTTTGCGCCTCTTGTGGGTTATGCCATCGAGCTTCTACCATTTCCATGAACTGGTCTAGAGTCAAMGACTTGGCCCARTCCGCCATGCGTCGCCCGTACCCRRCTTTCACAACTACCCCATCTAGCCATTTGGCTGYCTTACCCTCTWGGTAAGATGCCGCAGTTACCACTTCATCCTCTGGCAAGGTCCTCTTGGCCTTCACCCAAACCGGGACCGTCCTCAACCATGTGTTGAGTTCCTCGTCCTTTCTCTCACCTGAGAAGGCAAGAGGCGGTTTCATTGGGGTCTTGGGATACCATTGACCTTGCGGCTGTCCAGATTGTTGAACAGGTTGTTGTGGTGATGTAGCAATCACCGCTGGACCCGAAGAAGAAGACGCAACAATCTGGGAGACTGCTGCAGACGTACCACTTGGTTGTGAACCAGCTTGAACTGTAAAAGGGCGTGACATCGCCGTTAACGGCAGTGGCGATTGGGCTGGTGGCCTAAATCCTGGCCTTGTTAGGATGTCCAGAATCTGGTCCAAAGTGCTCTGCATGAAGTCCAACCTGCTGTCCACATGCGCATGCAGCGACAACATGTTGTTCCTCAACACTTTCATGGGCTCATTCATTCCCGAGTCATCTAAGCCCTCGAAGTCAGCCTTGTCAGACTCTAATGTTTCAAGCTTGGCTGCTCTATTCTTTATCTTTTTGTCTCTATCGGTTGTTTCCTTCAGTTCCCTCTCTAATCTTTCACGGATTCTTTCGACCTGTTGAAGCTCCCTGAGCTCTCTTTCGCGAGGAGTTGACGGGCTGTACTGCGAGCCCGCCATTTGACTAGTAGACTGTCGAGAACCTAATGAACTGGCAGTGCCTGTGGACCCTGTTGGCATTCCAAACTGGGGATCAGACGAGAATGCAACAGAAGTTGCAGCGGAGGATGCTGATGCAGAAGACATGGCTGCTGCCTTGGCTGCTGCTGCAACCTGTTCCCTAGCTGCAAGGTTTGCTGCTTCTCTCGATGCTGCGAGAGCACGGGCTCTGCGTTCGGCACGAAGCCGTCTTTCTTCTCCCTCGTCTAGGGTCGTGAACACGTACGGGATCCTACTTGATCTTGCACGTGTTAGTCTACTATCGTCAACTCTCTCCTCATCGACGTCTGATCCGCTCATGAGTTAGGCAGACTTTATCTGTACTCGAACCCCCTAATAGAATCCTACCACAGCATGTGTCTGACCGGCTTCTAATTTTCTATAAATAGTTGAGTCCGATAGGTCCCCTACTGTACCGATCAAGTGGCATGTTTACAACATTCACACAGATTGTCTACATAGTCTAGATGCACTCTGATTGGGTTCACTTACAGCCAGCATTAGACATAACAGGATATGGTAGTATACTACAGTCCTAATCTAATCTGTCTGTGAGGTGTTAGCAGTTTTTCCACCAACTAATCAAAGGTACAAACAGACAATGTAGCAGATGTATGATTGATGGGTATGGTTGTGTATACAGTTGAGCACCAATTGGAACCTACCCCTTCCCCTCAATCCAACCATCCGGACAACATCATTGAGCGAGCAGTGTCTTCGTGTGTGTATCGGCCCACCCCTGTGCCCAAGTCAGAGCCAAGTAAGCCAGCCAGCCCACTCTTATTTACCCTCGTACGGAAACGAGCCTTACACCCGGATGATCTGGCTGATCAGGAGGATTATTAAGAGCGCGCCCCCATCTCTGCAGGAATTCTTTAACGTCGCAGTCAGGACGACGATCACAGCCAGAACCATTCCGAGTACCCAACCAGAAATGTTTATAGACGGTCTAGTAAGTGTCTCATACAAGGCTGGCACACTTGGCAAGACTTCTATTTGGCGCAGCAAAGTGCCTTAATGGACAACAGCCATCGCATGCGTGACCTACTCCCATTGGGTTGGCATGGTGACCGTGACCCTGTGCTTCGACCAGGGCCCTTCAGAGGCACCGCCCTTTCTCCTTCCAGATGCTTCTGGGAAGATTGTCGTCTCTCAAGGTAGCGCGCTCATGACACCTCACCAAAAGAGAGGACTCTCAAGTTGGACTCACTTCCTCACGGTAAGAAGAGATTGAGAGAGTAGATAAGATAAGGGAACAACGTACCTGGAGATAGCTGCCCCCAACCACAGATTTCTCACCAATTGAGCTGAAGTTGCATTTGATGACCGGTCATGACCTCGGTACCACCCACAACGAAATGCAGTGCCACCTCAGCCGAATGCAACATCAGCATGCTCTCATCACCAATCATACATTCCGCATGTAACCCACGACATACTTTGCCGTATTAGCCTTCCGGTGCACCCTTCTCTACCCAGGGCGTGCACCTAACGTGGCCTGACATCACAAGTACCCATTGCGAAGAAGCATCGTCAGCGCACCAAGTCTGTACAACGCCAGCGTGCCAAAGGTAAGTGGCGATCAAACCAGCTCCGATACCAAATTGCAAGGAACATGAATATGGACGAAGCATAGAAATCCAAAATGCAAAATCACACTGAAGTCCAAGTAGTCAAAGCCAAAGCAGATAGCACAATGGAACCGAGTAACCATCCAATTGAGAATGATACAGAAGAATTGTGAGTCAATGTCCATTCCCAACAGGGCAACACCAACAGCATAACCCAAATGTAGCTGTCTCTTGTGAATGGCGCCAGGCGGCCTATCTGCTCTACAGCCTATCCTACAACTACAGCTATGAAAGCAACCAGACAACTTGACTACCAGCGAGTGATGATGTCAACACCAATGCCGACCTCCACCTCCACCAGGTACGTGTCCTCTTCACCCACACTCTTCCCTGTTACCCACACAGCGCCCTTCACCTCCGAAGACCACCTTCGCCCTTCACCCTCACTGCACCCTCATGTGGCCCGGCTATGGCCGTCAGTGCCCTGGTGCGCAGGCAGCGCCCTACCGCCTAGAGCTGGCCTGCCTTGCACCTCTCTTAGCGCAGCACAGCAGCAGCAGCAGCTCGCATTAGCGCAGCGTGCCGGCATTGCCCGCAATGGCCAAGATCCCTGCCCACTCGCCCTGCTTGCCTATATGCCAGTGCAGCGTGTGGGCGGCCTCCCTTCAGCCTGTGACCGGGACCCAGAGGCTGAAGCCAACCCGATACAGTTGGGCCCCGGGGTAATGCAGTTGCGCCTCTCTCATCAAGGCCTGCGGCCAGATTCAGATAGTGGGCCGATTTCCCTTTGGCATTTTCGGCCTCTATACCCAGCATGCATTGTCGGCCTCACGTTCGAGTGCCTAGGGCCTAACTAACTCAGAGGCCCTGGGCTTTCAGCATTTGTTGAAATTCGAGACTCGGTGCACTCCAACCAACTGGCGTGCTGCAGCTGTATGTACCCCACTTCGTGAAATGTTGGCACAAAGGGCTCTTGTCGATTTGCTGGCCCGCCTTCACTTAGGGCGGGCACGAGGCTTGCTGGGGCCTTAGCCCAGAACATGTACATTATGGCCCCTTCTTGAGGGCTCATTCCTCACACAAATTAATTTTTAAAATTAATTCTTGCTCTGCGATTCTCTGCTACCTTCATTGCTAAATCACTTGATGACGCTCTATTCTTGTAAATAGGAATTGTCCCCCACATCTCCATATGCGACCACGCCAAACCAAGACCTCCCAACGCGCCACCGCTGCCGCTATCACATCCGCTGCTACCGCCTCCACTTCCGCTCCGGCCACGTCATCCACCCCCTCTTCCCCCACCATCGCCCAATCTTCCATCAACATGTCTGATCTTCGTTCCGACTCCATCAACAGCATTGCCCGCGAGCTGGCAGGCGATCAGCCAACTTCGACCACCACCACCCCGGAATTTGCAACTATCCTCCAGACGTTGACCGCCCTCAAATCCTCCCTCGTCACCATCAACACCACTATGGCCGCCATCTCTGATCGTGTCACCACGCTCGAGGGAAACTCCCCCGCCGTCACGGTCGTCACCACGACCACACCCCCCTCCTCCACACCACAACCCACCCCCTCTTCCGGACAAGCCTCCGTTTCAACCTCCACACCAACACCGTCCACCTGTAGACCCCCACCCTCATCCACCACTACCTCCACCATTGTCGCTCCACCTCCCCCCTTGCCCAAGATGACAACCCCTGCCGTCACACAATCATCAATCGTCCCCCCCCAATCAAAACCGCTCGTATCCACCTCCACTATTACGTCAACCATCCCCAACTATACCTAGATCATTCCACAAGCTGTGTATCCCGCTCCTCCACTACTTCCCCCAAATGCTCTTATCCCCACCAACCCCACCGATGATTTCACCCTGTTCGACTCTCCCTATCCCACCCTTGATTTCAATACCCTTGCCACCATTAACCCCAAAGAAGGCAAAATCCCAACCCCATGAGGATGTCCTCCTCTTTCTCACCAAACTCCAACAAGCCTTCTCCCTCCACGGCATCCTCAACATCCACTGGCTCCCCATCGCTGGTGGCCGACTTCTGGACAACGCTGCTCGCTAGTGGTACACCGAAATGCCTAATCGCCATCACGCCGGTCTCCGACCTCACACCTTCCTTGAGTGGGCCACCCTCATCACCTCCACCTTCCGCCCACAGAAAACGGTCCACGACTATATTGACCAATTCTGTCGGCTCCAACAAATCGGACCAAACGACCGTTTTGTGCAGTACGTCCGCTCGCTTCGTCAACATATCCCCTTTGACGTCGTCAACGATTTTGCTTTCATCTCCCACGTTAAGCACGTTTGCCGCAAAGACTTGGCGGCCGCCCTTGTCCACGAGCCCCCCATGACCCTCGCCGACCTCCTCACTCGTACCCTCCAACTCGACCTCATCCTCTCCCCTTACAAGACCGCACTTACATCAGCCCCTCCCGGCCCTCGCTTCTTCCACAACATCGCCTCTGAGGACACCACCTCCATCACCTCCTCGGACGAGTTCACCTCCCCCGACCTTGACACCCTCTCCGATCCACTAGACACCACATCACTCTCCCCTGACGAACTCTTTTCCATTCACCTCATGCGAATGGAAATGAGAGATCGCTCCAGCCGCCATTCTCCGACCACCCCCCCGGGCCGCCTCAAGAAACTCACACCCGAGGAAAGAGCCTACCTTCAGGGAAAGGGGGGATGTTTCCGTTGTCGCCAGTTAGGACACCAGCAAACTAACTGCCCCAATGTTGGACAGTTCACCCGCCAATCCTCGGCCCCTCGACCCGCAACCTCCGCGTCACCCCCCTCTGCAAGCGCGGGTCCCTTCTCGTCCTGAACACAGTCCCCAGGACCTCGTCCCGACATCGACAACTCGTCTGCCGGCCAACCCGTCGGTGGCATCCCTCGTTCCACAGACGGCCCATTTGGCATCGACAATTTGTCTGCCTCCCCCATCCCCGGTGACATCCTCTCCACCGGATGACCCCGAGGCGTCGCAACCTTCATCACTTGAGACGCCCCCCACTGCTTCGTGCTCCTCCACCCTCCTTCCAAATCCATCCTCTGTCACCTTCTCCGATGTTGTTGAGGAATAAGCCCGACTCGATCAGCTTGTCCGGTTAGGCAACGAACAACGCCGCCTCAACACCATTATCTCCACCGCCAACTCATCCCGTTTCCACCTCAAATTCATCGCCGCCACCCTTGGTGCGTCTACCACTAAGTTTTGGGCCCTCCTCGACATAGGAGCCACCGGTAACTTCATCACCGACGCGTGTGTTCGGAAAGATGGCCTTACCTCTACCGGTTACGACTCCCCGATTACGATCCGTCTAGGGGACAAAGATACCGCCGTCGTAGTGGACCACACGGTTCCCGAGACCACCATGACAGTAGGAACCCTCCGCAGTCAGGTCTCATTTGATGTCATGCATTTGATGTGTGACATCGTCTTAGGAACACCGTGGCTGGACCGCTACATGCCATACGCATTCCACCCCAACTTCCTCCGCCTCACCAACCCCCCCGGACACAACCATCGACATTCCCTATCTCCCATATCCGACCTCCCAAGGATCCGTCACCCCGCATCAATTCCTCGACATGGCCCGCATGAACCCCGACTCCGCCTACTATTGCCTTGTCCTTGACCCCGAAAGTCCCGAGAACTTACTTCCAACGGACAAACCCGATCAAGCCCCCCCCTTTGACCCCGCCTCCACCTCTATCCTCGACGAGTTCAAGGACGTCTTCCGTGAGTCCCTGCCTGCCGGATTACCTCCGGATCGTGGCGTATCCCGTACCATCGATTTGGAGCCCAGACATTCTCCACCTTGTTGCCCTTCATACCAACTCTCGGTCCCCGAAGCCGAAGAAATGAAGCGGCAACTCAATGAGCTCCTTGAAAAAGGGTTCATTAAGCCGAGTTCATCTCCCTTCGGTACTAGCTGCCTTTTTGTGAAGAAAGGTGGAACTTCGGAACTCCGCATGTGCACAGACTACCACGCCTTGAACCGGATCACGATCAAGAACAAGTACCCCTTACCTCGGATCTCCGAGTTCCTTGATCGACTTCGTGGAGCCAAATATTTCACCAAGATTGACCTTCGCAGTGGCTTCCACCRGATCCGTATCCGCGAGGAGGACACCCATAAGACCGCATTCCGCTTTCGGTTCGGGCACTATGAGTTCCTCGTAATGCCTTTCGGTCTCACCAATGCCCCCGCCACATTCCAGTCCACTATGAATCACATCTTCCGTAACCTCCTCGAAGTCTGTGTTGTCGTGTACCTTGATGACATCCTCATCTTTAGCCCCACCTTCGAGTCCCACCTCCAGCGTATTCGCCAAGTCCTCTCGATCCTCCGAGAGCAGAAATTTCACCCCAAGCTCAGCAAATGCACGTTTGCCGCTTTGCGCGTCGAATACCTCGGCCACATTGTCTCCGCTGAAGGTATCTGTATGGACCCCCCGAAGGTCACAACCCTCGTCTAGTCCCCCCCGCCCAAGACCGTCCTCCAACTCCGTTCCTTCCTCGGCCTTGCCAACTATTACCGCCCGTTCATTCGCAACTTTTCCAAGACCTCTTACCCTCTCCACGAACTCACCAGCAAGGACGAACCCTTCAATTGGAACGATCGCTGCCAACACGCTTTCGACTTACTCAAGCAAACCATCACCACGGCCCCTATCCTCAAGATCGCCGACCTCACTCGCCATTCCTATGTCACTACTGATGCCTCCGACTTCGCCATTGGAGCTGTATTGTCCCAGCATTTCCCCTGTGAGACCCCCTCGATTAAGGACTCGCCCATTCACCCCGAGGCTCCACCCGGCGAATACCCCATCGCCTTCACAAGCAAGAAGCTCCTTCCCGCTGAGATGAATTACCCCTCCAACGAGAAGGAACTCCTCACCGTGATTCACACCCTCACAGTCTGGCACCCGTACCTCGACGGGCAATACTTCACCGTCCACACCGACAACACCATCGTTTCCTCCATCCTCTCCAAGAAAGATATCACTCCACGCCAAGCCCACTGGCTAGACTTCCTTGCCCAGTTCACATTTCACCATTTACCATACCCCCGACAAAAGCAACCGCGTTGCGGATGCCCTCTCTCGACGACCCGACCACAAGCCCCTTCGGGAAAGTGTACACCGCCATGACTGATATCCAACTCCTCCCATTACTCCATCACCGATACACCCAAGGCTACCTCTCTTGCCCAGACTTCGCCACCATCTACAACAAGCTCCGCGATCTTGACCCAGTCCCTGACTACTCCCTTCACGATAACCTTCTCTACGTCGATACCAAAGGCACTCGCCGACTTTGCATCCCCGACGCACGTGGTCTCTATACTCAACGCTTGGCCGAGCACCACGACGCTCTTCGTTTCTAGTGTACGGCTAGCGGGACTCGAACCCACAAGGCGCGAAGCGCCGCCAGATCCTAAGTGTGGTGCGTATACCAATTTCGCCATAGCCGTTTCTTTTTGGAATATGTATACAAGTTATTTGCCTGAAAGGAGTATAAACATGTCTACCCCACTTCGTGGCCTTTGGCCTTCCCTGCTCGCCGACGTCAAAGCATACATTCGATCATGCCCCACGTGTCAAGTTGTCAACCCCTCGAACCGGGCCAAACTCGGCAAGCTCCAATCATTGCCCATCCCAACTCACCGGCGGCAGTCCATCTCCATGGACTTCGTGTGCGGCCTCCCCAAGACCGACCGCGGGCATGATTGCATCTACGTCATTGTCTGCCGCTTGACCAAATGTGCCCACTTCATCCCTTGCACGACTTCGCACAGTGTCAAAGACGTCGCCACCCTCTTCTTCGATCATGTCGCACGCCATCACGGCCTCCCCGAGAACATCATCAGTGACCGTGATCCCCGCTTCCTCTCACAATTCCGGAAACCCCTCTTCAAAGCATATGGAACCACGCTCAAGTATAGCACTGCATTCCACCCCCAGACCGATGGACAAACTGAGAAGATGAACGATACTCTCCAAAGAATCTTGCGGAAGTAATGTCATCCACGCCAACACGACTGGGACCAGTGCTCACAGCCGCCGAGATCGCCTATAACAACGCCCTTTGCCCTTCCACTGGCATGTCCCCGTTCTACCTCGACCTTGGCTACCATCCTCGCTTGCCCTCCGACTTCCTGCTCCCTCGCAGCTCAACCCCTCCACACCCTGCCCTTCCCTCAATGAATGGGTAGCAACAATGAATCGACTCCTTAGAGAAGGAACCGAAGCCCTTGAAAGAACACAAGAACAACAAGCCAACAACTCTAACAAACACAGTCTTACACAGACGTGACGTGTCATTCAAAGTAGGGGACAAAGTCTGGCTTTCCGCCAAACGCTTTGAACCCGAACACGGCTTGTCCAAGAAACTCTGGAACAAGTGGCTCGGATCTTGTAGAATACCTAAAAGAATACCATGAATCCCCACCCCAATTTGCTGACCGCCCATATCCTAGACCTCCACCAATCATGTTACCCACAGGCCCTGAATTCGTCGTCGAAGCCATCATAGGACGTAGAACTTCTCAGGTATCTAACCACCCCGAACCAATCACATAATACAAAGTTAAATGGACAGGATACCCTGACGAAGAATCCACATGGGAACCTCTTGCTTACCTTAAGAATGCTATGAAACTTGTTCGCGCCTATGATCGTGCTCACCCTATATCCTAGATACATTATATAACTCAAACCCTAAACCCTTGCATAAACCCTGCCTTGACCCCGCCAAAACCCCGCATTCCTGCCCTACACACACCCCTGCCCCCAGCAAACCCCTTGCCCCTTGACCTCCCTCTGTCTGATCCGCTCTTGCCTCCGTCTCGCCCCCTTCTCCCATCTGTCCTCCGCCACATCCTTGTCTCTCTTGTCCAAGTTCCCTATGTGGCCCCTGCGCATCGCCGGCGATAATGGATCTAATGACAAGCGCACGAGGACAATGGCATGCTGCAACTCAGTATGAGGAGATAAGACAACTGGTTGGCCACCATGCTGTTCCCTTTGGCCGGCACCTTGGACTCGCAGACTTCTGGAGCAGCACCTCTGACAGGGACATCAAGATCAGTCTGTGACCTGCTATCCGGATCAGACCTCAGCACCAGATCCGAGTACCGGACGCATCCTGCTACTGGGACATTCAAGCTGAAGCTCTCGCCGTCCACATCACAGAGCTGCTGAAGACTGCTTTCTCACTGACACTTCTGCGACACCTTTCAAGACCTGTTCTCAAGACATCGACATGGACTGCTACACAGAACTTTCAACCTGTACCACTAAATCCCCGACCCTCAGCAACCCCGCCCCGTACATCGCAAGCCAAATTTCCTTTTTTTTGAGGACCACATAACCTGTTTTGCCTTGAACCTCCTAGTTCATCAGTAGAATTACCTTGTTTCCGCATTGTTTCCAAACCCTTAGTTCATCAGTAGGATTACCCTGTTTGCTGTGCTTCCCAGCCCCCTTAGCACATCAGTAGAACTACCCTGATTCCTGCAAAGCCCCTTAGCTCGTTGGTAGGATTGCCCTGTTCCCTGTGCTTCCCAGCCCCCTTAGCACATCAGTAGAACTACCCCGAATCCTGCAAAACCCCTTAGCTCGTTGGTAGGATTACCCTGTTCCCCGTGCTTCCCAGCCCCCTTAGCACTTCAGTAGAAATACCCTGCAAAACCCCTTAGCTCGTTGATAGGATAACCCTGTTCCCTCTCACTCCCCGACCCAGGCCACCCACATTATACCCCTCTTCTTTTTGACATGTTGACCAGTGATCGGCCCCGTCCCGTCCTTCACAGACTTCAACATTGTTTCATGGCTTTTGGCAGCCGGGACGTTGCCTTCTAGAGGGAAGGGATAGTGTTACGGACTCAGCCAGGGCTCGATCCCTGGTCCGTGGGGTACCACCCGCCAGCCAGCTTTTTTTTTTTTTTTTYTTTGATTTCCTGCTCTTCGGTTTCTGACTGTTGGCGCCCTCTGCAGTTGGGGCCCGTTTTCAAATCCCTCCTTTGGCAAATTTCGGATTTCGACACTTGGTGCCATCCGACATTCTGGCGCCCAGACTCAGACTTTTGATTCTCAGTTCAGTCCTGAGGCAATGGCACTTCTGCCCTCTGGACTGAACTTGAGTCCGGTACTTAAGACCGGACTCAAGCCCAGTATGGGCATTCAGTTTTCAGCCTCAGTGCTTGTGCTTCAGTGTGACTTGCCTCGACATTGTGTTCGGGAATCGAAGACTGCGACTTTGCGACTTCGCCTCTTCGTGTATGCGTCCATCGAGTCTTGTCGTGTCTGCGTCGAGTTGAGTGAGTGTGTGTGTGTGCTCTCACCCTCTCCTCTCTCTCCCTCAGCCTCGCTACTCTGCCTCTGCCTCTGCCTCTGCCTCGTCACACACACTCTACCATCCAGCAAACCAGGACCTAACACACCTGAAGCCCACTGCAGACTCCATCTTAAATGAAAATGAAAACGATGAGAGCATACAGTGGAACCGGTGAACCATTTGAATCTCTGGATTTTCAAATGGGACAGAGGGCTCGTAGTACCTTTATTTACAGCAGCTACAGCAAGGAGCTCTTCTGCTGCTCCTACAAATTCTGAAGTTCATGTAAGTCTTCATTTAGAGACAAGGAACAGGTGTAACGAACCTCTTAGTTCTCCACCAATGAGCGCACCCACAATCACACAACATGCATGAATGAGATCACATGTAATTCACACTGGAGGCCAGAGAGATGAAGACCAGGTAGCACAGCTTTAGAATCCCAACAAATCATCATGTGAGCAATTAAGAGTTCCAATCACAAACGCTCAACAGAGCAAACCCAAGTATCCAGTATCTCCACTCAGGTATGTAACTCTTCCGAGGTTCTTCTCTCCTCTCTCTCGGTCTTCTCTCTGTCCATTACCTCTCTGTGTCTTCTCTCCCTACTTGCATGCATTCACACACCTTCTACTACTCAAGGACCAACTCTGAATACATCCACTACTAACTCTACTTACCCTCTCTGAAGCCTACTACTAACTACTAGCACTGGTGCAGCTATGGATGTCTTCCCTCTACCAGCGCTTGGGCAGCTATGGCTGCCTGCTGGTCTTGACTGCTAAGGTACCCGACTGTGACTTTTCTGAAACTGACTGACTCGGCCTTTCTTGGCCAGGGCCTCTGACCCTGAAACTCGAATTTGGGGTCCGAATCGTGGAAGGCCTTTCACAGGGTTCTATGTGGGTGAATGGTAAACATGGGAATATGTTTGTAAGCTGAACATCAGTTGGAATCCAAATAAACCAGATGAACACAGTAAAGCTTGCGGCTACCCCCTTTTTCGCTGTCTTTCAAAACAAAAGGGATAAGGAAACGGATTTCCTTCCTTTCCTATTTGTTTCTTGTCAATTGCCTATATGTGGCTTTTGTTTTCTCCCAAATGGTCCATGTCAGGGTTGCATGTGGGAGTCGGTTTTTGGGGCAGGTGTAGACGATGTCACGGAGACAGAGACGGAGACGGAGACGGAGACGGAGACGGAGACGGAGACGGAGACGGAGACGGAGACGGAGACGGAGACGGAGACGGAGACGGAGATGGATAACCGAGCGTTGTGGCTGAACGGCAAACAATTGTAGCTGTTGATAAACAGGTCATGAGTTCAAATCCCTGATGGATAGACACGTTTGGAGCTAGCAGCAGTACAGAATTTGTTAATCTCCTGTACCTCTTCCTCCCTCGGATGCTTCTCCGTTTACACAGGTTTGAGATCCACATTGTCAGCGATGCCAACTCCATTTTTATCTCATGTGTATTGGAGGCCGCTGGGCTGAGTGATTGCATATCATCAGTGCATACGAATCCAGCACACGTGGATGAAGTGGGAGTCCTAAGGGTGGAGCCATATCAGCCTGTGGACAATCCCCACAGCTGTAGCATCTGCCCTTCCAATATGTGTAAGGTATGCTATTGCTCCTCGTCCTCGTCGTCCCCCTCCTCCTCCTCCTCCTAATCTCCTCCTCCTCCCCTTTCTCATCCTATCTTCCCATGTTCTCCTCCTTGTCGTCCTCCTTGTTGTCCTCTTCTTCCTACTCCTCGTCCTCCTCCCAAAGTGGAGTGGAATAGTGACCGTCAGTTGGCTGTTATAGACTGAGGCTCTAAGGCAGAGGCGATGTACCCTCTGGCAGGATTAGCAAGCCTCGATTCTTCTAGAGACTAAAACGCTATAGTAACAGTCTGGTTGTAGTGGTTATGAATTTTACGCCAATATCAAAAGGCTTCATGATTCCAAGTTTGGAAAAGGGCTCAGGAGACATCTCTCAGGCCCTGGATTAAGTTCGAGGAAGAGCACTGGCTACACCTCTTTGGTTGTAGATTACGCAGAAGAAGCAGAAGCAGAAGCAGAAGCTGAAGCTGAAGCAGAAGTAGAAGCAGGAGCAGAAGAAGCAGCAGAAGCTGTAGAAGGTATTGGATGTCTCCACCAGACTGTCTGGGTTGCATAGCCAGGTGACCCAGACAGTCTGGCCAAGATGTCAAGTCCAGTCTTCTTCTTCTTCTTCTTCTTCTTCTTCTTCTTCTTCTTCTTCTTCTTCTTCTTCTTCTTCTTCTTCTTCTTCTTCTTCGTCTGCTTCTGCTGCTTCTGCTTCTGCTTCTTCTTCTTCTTCTTCTTCTTCTTCTTCTTCTTCTTCTTCTTCTTCCAGCCATGCAGTACAGACAGTCTGGACAGGCTATGATACTGAAATCATTTATGAGGCATGGAAAGTAGAAACAAAAGCCCAATTCTTCTTCTTCTTCTTCTTCTTCTTCTTCTTCTTCTTCTCTTCCTCTTCCTCTTCCTCCTCTTCCTCTTCCTCCTCTTCCTCTTCCTCTTCTTCCTCTTCCTCTTCCTCCTCTTCCTCTTCCTGCTCTTCTTCTTCTTCTTCTTCTTCTTCTTCTTCTTCTTCTTCTTCTTCCGGCCATGCAGTACAGACAGTCTGGACAGGCTATGATACTGAAATCATTTATGAGGCATGGAAAGAAGAAACAAAAGCCCAAATCTTGTCCTGAGG